AAAAAAAAAAAAAAAAAAAGTTTCTATAACAATATCCACACATGGGGAAAAACCTGCAAGAGAAGATATCTCAAATGTTAACTATCTCTGGGCAGTCACATTTGGGGTAAATTTATTATCCCCCACAACAAACTTTTAAAGTATTAAAAATACATATAAAAAGGCATAACCCATCTGATATCAGAGCTGACCTCTAAATTTCAGCTATGGCAACCACCTTGACCTCTCAATTCAACACTTCTTCACTATGTTTACTGAACATCTGCGTGCCTGGCGCTGCTTAATACAAGGGACACAACTGAGTCTTCCATCTTGGTGCTGCCCAGAACTCCAGGTCACATGGGCACTATTGAACCTGCCACCTCCTTCACCTAGTTCTTCACTTTGGTCCTGGAAGAAGACCTGGGCCTCTTCTTCCTCATCAGTGAATAACAGCAGCTCCTTATGTGGCCACCAGAGCTCTTCACTTTCTTCACTTACCCCAGAGGCTTCTACCACAATGGAGGGTAGATGGGTCTTTTGAGAGACAACCTGCATGGGGACAGCAGGGGTCATGGGCTAAATTGGAGATGAACCAGCAGCAGGACACGGTGGGGAAGTACTAACCTGAACATCCTGGTGACCTTCAACACTGTTAATTTCTTCTCTGTCCTTCAAGAGAGGGTTGGTCAGCCTAGGAGTTTCTGGATGCTGGAAGGGGCCTGGGTTATCTCTACGCCAAGGCCCATCCTCGCTGCTCCCTGGCACAAGGTCCATGGCTGCTGATTTTTAGTGTGCAGGATAGCTGAACGCAGAGTAGAGTTCTGAACCCCTGCCCAGTGCACCCCATGGGCTACTCCTTTAGTCTTCTTTGGAGCATGGCCCCTGAATCACTTCTGTGTAGGGCAGGATGACATGCTAGGAGATTATGGGCCTTTCAGGGGAGGGAGAAATCCCAAAACTGGGATAAGAGCTTTATTTCTACTCACTCCCTGGTGACACTGGGATATAAACAAAGGCATCTGTATTAAAGCCCTGTGAGTGAAGAACCTTGGTAACAAACTTGGAACTTCCTGATTCTTTTGCTTATTGGGTTTCCCAAGTTGACATATTTCCTTGTATCTTTTAAATGAATATTTATAGTGCACACCTGCTCAGGGCACATACAAGAAGCAACCAATGAACACATAAGTAAGTGGAACAACAAATCGATGTTTCTCTCAAAATCAATAAAAAATAAAACAAAAAACCTCTGGGGAAATAAACAATCGAATATCCTTCCCCTTAGGGCATACACCTTCAAATCCTTAGGCTTACTTTAAGGGTGAATAATTAAACTGTTTGCCTTTTGTCATTGTGGTGCTGTTCACAGAACCATAGTACTGGGCTATGTATGTTCTATGAGAGCTTTGTTCTGTGGGTCTGACTGTATTCTCAACAGGGAACTTGCTATTAATTAATTAATTAATTATATAGTGTTTACTATTTGCCAGGAACTGTTTTAAATGCTGTACGTGTAGCCCAGCCAGGCATGGCTCAGCAGTTGAGCACCGACCTAGGATCCAGGAGATTGCGGTTCAATTCCCAGTCAGGGCACATGGGGGGTTGAGGGCTTGATCCCCCGTCCGACACATGGGAGAGGCAGCCAAACAATGACTCATCATTGATGTTTCTCTCTCTCTCCCTCTCCCTTCCTCTCTCTGAAATCAATAAAGACATATTAAAATAAATGCTATACGTGTAAACTCATTTAGTTATCCTAAAACTGTGTGATACTGGTATTAGCCCTATTTTCCAATGAAGGAACCAGGGCACAAAGAATTTAAATGACTTTGTCCAGACACAACGAAGAGGTTTTTTCTTCTCCAAACTGGAATTTGGCATGTTACACAAAATCTAGAGTTAACCTTTGTATGCCAAGGGTATATACCATGACGAAAAATTTAACAAGTTTACTTAAAAATATTTTTGAAATTTTGTATTTATTGGTTTTTAGAGATAGAGGTCAATTTGTTGTTTCACTTATTTATGCTTTCAATGTCTGATTCTTGTATATGCCCTGACCAAACCCGAAACTTTGGCTCAGGACAGTGAACCAACTGAGCTACTTGGCAAGGGCTTAACAAGTTTACTTTCAACAAGTTCATTAACAAGTAAAATAAAGAAGAAATATATAAAGATACCCTTTTCCACACCCAGTACACTTGGCGTTGAGTGTTTGTTCAGGAGCTGAAGGGATTGAAGGGGGTCAATAGACTGATGTGTCCAAGTATCTGGAAGTCCACTATGTGTACTGAAACCGCACGGGTTATTTTAGGAAACCACAGAGCACAGCCCTAGACTTCTTTTTTCTTTTCTCCTTTCTGCCCCAGCCTTCTGTTGATCAGGAAACTTCAGAACTGGGTAGTTAGTTGTAAAATCCACAGCAACTATGAAGACGCACTCCGGCCAGGCGAGCTCAGACGGTTGGAGCGTCCTCCGATACGTCAAGGCTGCGGTTCCGCCTCCAGTCAGGATACACAGGAAGCTCAACCCTTAGCAATCGCACTTCGGACTTCTCAACGGGCCCCGCGCAGCGCACTCGGTGTCAACGCCCCCTTGACACGCTCAACCTTCTCGGCTAAATCTAGACTTAAGGCCCAGGCGCTCTGGATTCTAAACGTTTCGCTGACCAGGTCCTCTCTAGCCCCGCTGTTTTCTATGGTGTCCTCTGTGGGTCGCTCTAGCCCGCGCAAGAGGCAGGGAGACGCGGTGCCGGCCTTTCTAGGCTGCGGGAGACTACAGAGGCCGCCTCGCTGGTCGTGCGGCGGGCTATGGGGTCCTTGCGCAAAGTGCTGATCGCAGTCGCAGTACTGGGTGCGTGGGCTGGCGTGGGCTCCACACTCTTTGTCCTTGTGACCCCGGGAGAGGAGCGGATCCAGGCGATGCTGAAGGTAGGAGCAATTGGAAATCCGCGATGGGGTGGGTGGGCAGGCGGAGAGCCCCTGCTGGGGGCCGGAACTGCGAACCTCTCTTCCTCCCCGCAGGAGATGCCGGGGCAGGACTCACGGAGCCGGGAAGAGGCAGCCAGGACCAAAGAGTTAGTGCTGGCCACTCTGCAGGAGGCAGCTGCCACGCAGGAGAACGTGACCTGGAGGAAGAACTGGCTGAGCGGCGGCGGCGGCGGGAAGTCAGCGTGAGCCGGGACCTGCGCGGGTGGGCGCTGGGAGCTCCGCTCCCGCACAGGAGTCCGACTGGAGTCCGACCGAGGCGGCCTTTCTCTTCCATGGACCTGGCGGGGAGCCTGGGCCCGGGGAGCTACCGCCGGGTGAGCACTTCCCCACAAACGCTGCACTGACTGCGCGTTCACGTCCTT